ACACACACACACACACACACACACACACACACACACACACACACACACACACACACACACACACACACACACACACACACACACACACACACACACACACACACACACACACACACACACACACACACACACACACACACACACACACACACACACACACACACACACACACACACACACACACACACACACACACACACACACACACACACACACACACACACACACACACACACACACACACACACACACACACACACACACACACACACACACACACACACACACACACACACACACACACACACACACACACACACACACACACACACACACACACACACACACACACACACACACACACACACACACACACACACACACACACACACACACACACACACACACACACACACACACACACACACACACACACACACACACACACACACACACACACACACACACACACACACACACACACACACACACACACACACACACACACACACACACACACACACACACACACACACACACACACACACACACACACACACACACACACACACACACACACACACACACACACACACACACACACACACACACACACACACACACACACACACACACACACACACACACACACACACACACACACACACACACACACACACACACACACACACACACACACACACACACACACACACACACACACACACACACACACACACACACACACACACACACACACACACACACACACACACACACACACACACACACACACACACACACACACACACACACACACACACACACACACACACACACACACACACACACACACACACACACACACACACACACACACACACACACACACACACACACACACACACACACACACACACACACACACACACACACACACACACACACACACACACACACACACACACACACACACACACACACACACACACACACACACACACACACACACACACACACACACACACACACACACACACACACACACACACACACACACACACACACACACACACACACACACACACACACACACACACACACACACACACACACACACACACACACACACACACACACACACACACACACACACACACACACACACACACACACACACACACACACACACACACACACACACACACACACACACACACACACACACACACACACACACACACACACACACACACACACACACACACACACACACACACACACACACACACACACACACACACACACACACACACACACACACACACACACACACACACACACACACACACACACACACACACACACACACACACACACACACACACACACACACACACACACACACACACACACACACACACACACACACACACACACACACACACACACACACACACACACACACACACACACACACACACACACACACACACACACACACACACACACACACACACACACACACACACACACACACACACACACACACACACACACACACACACACACACACACACACACACACACACACACACACACACACACACACACACACACACACACACACACACACACACACACACACACACACACACACACACACACACACACACACACACACACACACACACACACACACACACACACACACACACACACACACACACACACACACACACACACACACACACACACACACACACACACACACACACACACACACACACACACACACACACACACACACACACACACACACACACACACACACACACACACACACACACACACACACACACACACACACACACACACACACACACACACACACACACACACACACACACACACACACACACACACACACACACACACACACACACACACACACACACACACACACACACACACACACACACACACACACACACACACACACACACACACACACACACACACACACACACACACACACACACACACACACACACACACACACACACACACACACACACACACACACACACACACACACACACACACACACACACACACACACACACACACACACACACACACACACACACACACACACACACACACACACACACACACACACACACACACACACACACACACACACACACACACACACACACACACACACACACACACACACACACACACACACACACACACACACACACACACACACACACACACACACACACACACACACACACACACACACACACACACACACACACACACACACACACACACACACACACACACACACACACACACACACACACACACACACACACACACACACACACACACACACACACACACACACACACACACACACACACACACACACACACACACACACACACACACACACACACACACACACACACACACACACACACACACACACACACACACACACACACACACACACACACACACACACACACACACACACACACACACACACACACACACACACACACACACACACACACACACACACACACACACACACACACACACACACACACACACACACACACACACACACACACACACACACACACACACACACACACACACACACACACACACACACACACACACACACACACACACACACACACACACACACACACACACACACACACACACACACACACACACACACACACACACACACACACACACACACACACACACACACACACACACACACACACACACACACACACACACACACACACACACACACACACACACACACACACACACACACACACACACACACACACACACACACACACACACACACACACACACACACACACACACACACACACACACACACACACACACACACACACACACACACACACACACAGACTGTCACGAATTTAGCGAGAATGTCCTTTTTAGTCGCAGATTTTATTCCACGACTTCAAAGTCGACCTTTTTCAACAGAAAATGCAGCATTTACTGCAAGAAAGAATAAGAGCTTATCGAGAAAACAGAAACATGTGGATGGATTACAAAATTAAAGCGAAAGAAATTTCGCTCGGGGAAAACTCGTTATCAAAAATCGATCCCTGCGTACGTGGATGAACACGCATAAGTAAAGACACATCTAGATATTTTATCAAGCGTAAGTCGATAAGCGCCCCCCTTTGTCTCGAGGAGAATCTCTTTCTACGGAATATGATGTTCTTTTCTTTTTCTTTTGTCGCCGTATATTCGACGCAATTGGAGAGAAAAAGATAAAGCGACATATCTACCATCAGTTACTATCTGCAAACATGCAACAAGAGCTCGTATCCCATGAGCTACCGGTATAGCTCACGATGTTATAGAGCGCTTCGCTCGCAATGCAACGGCACGGAAGGCCAGATGCTCGCTATCTGTCAACACTCGCGGCATGAAACGTCGCATGCAATAATATTATTATCCGCGGTACCATTAATTATTATTTAACCGCGATGCACACACAGGCGCGCGGCTACACGCCTTCGCCACCGCTCTGCCGCAGCCGCTGTCGCTGCCCGTACATCGTGACTATAAACGCACTCGAAGTTTCTTGAACCGAGGTACACGTGCGCGCGCGCGTGCAACATCGTTGGAATAATTTCCATTCTGATCTCGCTCCGATCAGAGAGAGAGAGAGAGAGAGAGAGAGAGAATAATCTATCGTGACGTATGCGAGAAAATTCTCGGAAACTGAGCGTCGTGAGCGGCGGAACTGATTGAAACAAATTGAATTTGAATTTGTCAAGGGGAAGTCGCGTTACTCTCCCTCGAAACCGCTTGGGGCGATAGCGGTTACTCCCTAACCTTTGGCTAGAGCGCAGTCACGATACACCCGCAACTTGTCAAGGATAGAGTCGCGATTATCCCCTTTTTAAATCGACCGCAAAATCGCGGGAAAAAGACTCTCTCGCTGCCTTGACCAGACGCGTCGTTCGTATAATCGCGCTTATCTACCACCCTCGTGCATTACTATCCCCCCGGAGAAATAAACGTTCCACCG